ATTTTTCATCAATATATGGTGTAGATTTGTTAATACGTTTATGTCAATGTATCATTCTTAATAGTAAAATTGTAATAATTGAGTAAAAAAAAAAAAAAAAAAAAAAAAAAAAAAAAAAAAAAAGAGGAAAAAAAGTTATTCTTAAAGAAAAGTTAAACAAAATAAAAATGAAAAATGGTAATGTAATTATCTTTATATTTAAGAAATTAATTTTTTTTTGACATTGAGGGTTATTTTTTATTTTAATTTATCTTTTTATTTTTATTTTAGTTTATTTTATTTATTTATTTATTTTTTTTTTTTTTTTGTGTCATTTTATTATATTTTGTAGTTTTTTCATATGTTTATGTATTTAATTATTAAATTTCATATGTATTTACTTTTTTGTTTTTCACACAAGCTTATGTTTTTGTTATACATATATATCTTTTATATTTCTTTTCTTTTCTTTTTTTTTTCTTGAGTAATTCTAAGTATTTTTTTGAAAAAACTTATATATTCCTTGGTTTAATCCTTTTTTTTTTTTTTTTTTTTTTTTTTTTTTTTTTTTGTTAACATCTAATAACATTCTAACTACTACTCCGATACCTACCCAAAATACTACTACAAATGTAACAACTGATAATCCTAACACTCCCACATGTACAGCAAATATCCCTGTGTTGATTGCCCTTTCATTGGGTGCATCACTTTTATTAATTATTTTCCTTTTCGTTATTCTCTATAAGGTAAGATGAAATTATTATAAATATATATTACTGCATTCCTTTTAATTATTTTTCTTATTTATTATCTAATTATCATTAAAAATTTATATTTTATATACTTAAAATTTTCTATTTATGTAATAGCATAGACCTATTAGATTTTTACCTGGTAAAGGAACAAAGAAAAAGAAAAAACATACAAAAAAAAAAAATCAGAAAGAAAATTCAATGAATTTTATAATGAAGCCTTCAGATATTCCATATGAATTACTAGAAAATAATATGCAACTCAATAATTTATGTAATAAAACAAATAATTCATTATGTAAAATTGTATTTGAAAATGAAATAGATAATACATTTAAAGAAAAATCAGCAGAAAACGAAATTAATATAAAAACAAAAAATGATATTGCGATAATAAGAGAAGAATTAAAATGGAAGATTATAATAGAAACATATATGATAGTTATAGACGAATGTAAAAAGGAGGAATGGAAAAAGAACAGGAAAGTATTTTTTGAAATTTGTTTGGATGAATTAAAAAAAGAAGGTATATATTTAGATATAACAATAGAAAAGGAGAAAAAGGATAATGTTACTATTATGCTAGAAAATAAAAAACTTCTGTGGAAACAGTATAAAAAAGGACATAAAAAGAAATTAGAAAAATGGAAAAATGAAAAATGGTTTGAAAATTTGAAGAGAGAATGGAAAGATGAGGAAGTTAACTATTCAGAAATAATAAAAGAAAAAGGGATAATAAAAAGTACAGAAAATGATTTAAATAATCCTTCTATGGAAAAACAAAAAATAATATGGAGGAATTGGGTAAAAAAGCATATAACGTGGTTGCACGATTCTGATGACCAAAAATGGTTTAATGAATTATTAGAAAAATACAAAATAGAAGAAGAAATAAAAGAAAATATAGAAAGAGAAGGTAGTGAAGAAGGAAATATTAAAATGGAAAGAGAAGAAAAATCAGATAAAGATTCAAAGAAAAACAATTTAAAATTGAAATTATGGATTGATATACATATGATGGTATTAAAGGAATGTAAAAAAGAGGAGAGGATGATGATAAAAAATGAATTTCTTAATACATGCATAGAAGAATTGAAAAGAACGATAAATCCAGAAGAAATGTTGGAAATAGAAAAAGAAATAACAGGAAATATTACATTAGAAAATAAAAAAGAATTAGAAAAATTAATAAGAGAAAATTGGTTTATTGAATTGAAAATAGATTGGAATAAGAAAGAAAAAAAATATATGGAAGAGTTAAGTAAAAAAAACTTACCAGAAAATAATGAAGAAATAATTAAAAATTTTATGATTTATGAGAAAAAAATTATATGGAAGGAATATTGGGAAGAAATGAATAAGAAATGGATAGAAAATGAAAGCATGGAAAAATGGCTAATAAATTTGATAGGAGAAAATGAAAATGAAGATGAAAACAAAGTGAAATTAAAAGAAATAAAAGATAAGCATGAAGAATGTAAAGAAAAAACAAATACGAGTAAAAAAGGACGAAAAGTAGAAGAAAAAAAAATGAAGGACGAAGAAGTACAAATAAAAAATAAGAAAAATTCTATTACATTAAAAAGAAAGCCAAAATGGAAAACTATGAAAGAAATACAAATGATTATAATGGAAGATTATAAACAAAAGGAGTGGGAATTGAATAGAGAAAATTTTTTGAAAATTTGTTTGGATGAATGGAAAAGTGACGAAAGATTATATGGAAATATAATGGAAAAAAAAAGTACAATGTATATAGAAGAAAGTAGTATTACTGTATTAGAAAGACAAAAAATGTTTTCTAGGAAATTGATAGAAAGGCATAAAAATATGATAGAAAAATGGAGGACAGAAGAATGGTTTAATAGTTTAATGGAGGAATGGAAAAAAGAAGAAAATATACATATAGGAACAATAGATAAAAGAAAATTCATTGAAGGAACATATAATATAGAGAAAAATAATGAATTAGAGAAGAAAAATGAAATATGGAGTCAATGGATAAAGAAGCAAAGAATATTATTTACACAATATGAGAAGGAAGCATTGTTTAATAAGCTATTAGACGATTATAATGAGGAAGAAGATAAGCATGAAAGAGAAGATGAGCAAACAAAAGAAAAAAAAAATAATATAGATAACATTGAAACGGATCCAAAAACAGTTGATATAAAAGATGAGGTTAGTGAAAATATAGAGAGGATAAATTTGATATCTAATTTGTGGATTGAAATATATATGATGATATTGGATCAGTGCATGCAAGAAGAAATAGAGTATATGAAAAAAGAATTTCTGGAAACATATATAGAAAGAAAAAATGGACATAAAGGGTTAGATGAACATGGAATTACACAAAAAGAAATTAATGATGAAGAAAAAGAAGAAATTATAAATGATATAATAAGGAAAAAGAAAGAACAATGGGAATCCTGGAAACGAGAAGAATGGTTTCATGAAATGAAATTAAATTGGCATAAAACAGGACATATAAATTATATGGAAGAATCAAAAATATTAGGTAATACAAAAGTAGAAATTAAAGACTTTATATTTGAAAGACAAGTATCTGAGAGACAATGGCTAGAAAAACAGAGAAATTTTTTAAAAAAATGGAATAAACAAAAACTAAAAAAATCCATGAAAAATAAATATAAAGATGAACAAATAGAGGAAGAAAATAAAGAAAATGAAGAAAACGAAGAAAACGAAGAAAATGAAGAAAATGAAGAAAATGAAGAANTAATACTCTATAATTTAATATCTTGTGTTATACAAGCAAAGATAGAAATCTAATCCTACATATTTTATAGTTCTAAAAAATAAAATTAATTTTTTTTCTTTTTATATAGATATTTTTATTAATTATATTTTTTTAAAAAAAATTTAAATTAAAAAAAAAAAATGATAGAAAAATAATTTAATTTACAAAGAAGTATATTTTATTTAAAGGTAAGTTTTTATTGAAATCGTTTGTATTTGTGTTTTAAAAATTTTTTTTGTTAGATTAATTTTTAAACATATAAAACTAATTTCGAAAACTATAAAAAAGAAAAGTATTTTATCTTTATTTGTATTTATATTAATATTTGTTTTAATAATTAACTAATTTCCCGTTCAATGACCATATTTTTATTAATTGCCCGTTGAATGACTTGGCAAGAAAATTGAACAAATAGATTAATAAAGAGCATGTAAAGTTCTCTTCATTAATTTAATAAATTTAAATTTAGATTTAATTATATGAACCAATAAAATTTTTTTATATAGTCTACTTCCTTGAGAATTAATTTTTAAGAGGCATTTATTTACTTTAATAAAAATATTAAATTTTTGTTAAAAATATAAATTCTCATTAACTACTGATTTTAATTACACAAATTTTATTTATAATATTATGAATTATGTCTAGCAGTCAATTCATTGCTCTCAACTTAAGAAAAATAAATAATTAACTAAATACGAATTAAATTATATAAATACTATAAAATATGAGAATTTTATTATCGTAAATATAGCGTTTTCTTTTATAAATTTAGACAAAATTTGGCTAAAAAGAATTTTTTTTTTTAAATTTCTTCTTCTATTCTTAAATCATCAATCAATTTAAAAAAAAAATAAAAATATTTTTTTATTTATTTTAAATTACAAAAGGAAAGCAAAAAAAATTGACAACTATTATTTTTTTTTTATCTAGAGTTTCTACGGATAATTATTTATTTTCTATATAGCTAATTCTTTTTATTCTCAAAAAGACTAACAATTCCTTGCTGGATAATAAAAAGAATTATTAACCTTTTTAAGAGTGAAAATGGCTATCTATATGTAAAATACATGGTGAGCCATGCAAGTGCTAGTTAAAAAAAAAAATATCAGAAATATTTTTTTTTTACAAAAGAGTGTCTTTTGTACGGAATTTATGTTTTGAATTTTTATGAGAAAATTTTATATTAATGATAATATAATTTTTATATACTACTATTTATATAGTATAATTTATATTTTATTAATTTTGTACGTTTGATAATTTAACATAATATCCTTAAGTGTTAAACACCATTCGTAAGACTATGATTAAAAAAATACATATGTACAAATAGAAAATTAAGGAGTATTTATGTTTTTAATAAGTATAATACAATTCTTATTAAATTAAATAAATACCTCTTAATAGCTAATAAATTCTCAACATAGTAGATTGCATAAATACAGTTGACTTGTTTATAACATGGGAAATTATTCATGAATTCATTAAATCCATAGTTAAAACCCTCCGTGCTCTTAATTTGTTTGCTTAGTGCTCCAGAAAAGTCATTGAACAGGCAATTGATAAAACATACTTATAATTATTATATATATTTGTATTAAATAATAAATTTTATATCATTTGATTGTAATTTTTTTGGCGTTATCGTAAATTCAAAGTAACTATTTTAATATATATTTTTCTTGTTAAAATTTCTATTTTTTATCATTATTTTTTTAATTTATTGATGGTTGTTTTTGTTTTTCTTTTTTTTTTTTCTTTAATGAAATAGTTCACTTTATGTAGAATTATATTTTTATTTTCTTTTGTTTATAATGTGAAATTTCTTTATCATTAGTTTATCATATCTACACTAAAATATATTTATTACTTTAACATACACCTCCACTATATTTATTTTTATATTTATTTTAATTTTTTCTTTTTTACATAAAGCTTTTAGTAATAATGTTTAAGCATGTAATGCTGTATTCACATATATAATCTAAAATTATTTCTTTATATTATTAGAATTTAAATTTCAAGTCAAATCATTTTTTAATCAACGTTCAAACATATATAGTGGGTATTTAATATAGTTACAACAATAGTTGTAAATCATTTTTCTTTATAAACCGTAATTTTAATAATTGTATTTAATTTTTTTTTTATAATTTTTTTTATAAGATACCATTATTGTATGTACATAAGTTTCACTATATTCTTATTTTTTTCTATTTATATTGCTAAAATTGAACCAATTTATAAAATTATTATGTAATTATTAAAATAAATCCAATATGTTTTTTATTATTATCATTGTTAAATTATATGTAACTTAATTCAGATATATTTTATTTTTAATAATAAATATGTATATATATTTTTTTTTTTTTATATTTTTCTCATATTTATATATATAAGTAATGTTGTACGTGCAATTTTATTTCATTTCTTTTTCTTTGTTTATCTAAAAATTATCTTTTATGTAGTATTATTATTTCATCACTATCTATATATAGTAATTAAAATAAAATTATAAATTTTAATAATATTTTATATATAATTTTTTTTTTTTTAACATAATTAATATTATATAATTATAATTTTAATGATAGTTCTAGGAGCAATAATATTATAGCACATATTGTATTTTTGCTTTCTTAATAACTCCTAAAAAAATATATTTTTTTTTTGATATATTTAAAATTTTTTTTATTTATTCAAGGAAAAATATTACTCTTTGTTGAAATTTTTCTCGAATAAATGTTACTAATTTTTGTAAAATCTATAGTGAAAAAAATTTTTTTGAATGTTTCTTTTTTTTTATAATTCAAAAAAAATGATGAACAATAATACATGTCTAAATAAGTATGTTTTATGCACGATAAATTTCATAACAACGTATTTTTTAAAGAAAGAGAATGAATATAGTTAAATTTTAGTAATTAAATAAATGATTA